CAAATTCAGCTTCCCCGTACCCGCGGGTAACGCGTACGGCCCTGTGAAAGTTTTTTACGGGTAAGTTAGTATCTCGGGAACCACGGAGTCTAGGAGGCTGAAATTTTAGGGTAATGACCCACTGCCCATGCTCGACCACGGAGTCTAGGAGGCTGAAATTTTAGGGTAATGACCCACTGCCCATGCTCAACCTTGCCCATTCGAATTCAGCCTTCCGTTACCCGCGGGTAATACGTACGGCCCCGTGAAAGTTTCCCATGGGTAAGTCACGGGTAAGTTTCAGCCTTCCCTTGCCCGCGGGTAGCACTTACGGCTCCGTGAAAGTTATTCACGGGTAAGTTAATATCTCGGGAACCACGCCCCTGACCCACGGGTAATACGTACGGCCCCGTGAAAATTTTTCACGGGTAAGTCACGGGTAACTTAATATCCCGGGTACCTTCGAGTTTAGGAGGCTGAAGTTTTAGGGCAATGACTCCCTGCCCACCCTCAACCTTGCCCATTCGAATTCAGCCTTCCCTTACCCGCGGGTAATAAGTACAGAGTCTAGGAGGCTGAAATTTTAGGGTAATGACCCATTGCCCATGCTCAACCTTGCCCATGCCCAAAATCAGCCTTCCCTTACCTGCAGGTAACACGTACGGCCCCATGAAAGTTATTCACGGGTAAGTTAATATTTCGGGAACCACGGAGTCTAGGAAGCTGAAGTTTTAGGGTAATGACCCCCTGCCCACGCTCAACCTTGCCCATTCAAATTCAGCGTTCTCGCGCTCTCGGTTGCCACCTGCGGCCTCGTGAGAATTTTGGCGGATAAACTATTAACTCGGGAATCACGGGAAGATATTCATCCTTCAAGGTTTCGAATTCAGCTTTCATGCGCAGGTGCGTGAAATTTTTAAATGTTTTCCAATGTTTGAACTATTTTTGCATAGACTGAAGTACGAAGCAGTGAAAATCATTAACAGGTTAATGTTTGAACCATTTTTGCATAGACTAAAGTACAAAGCAGTGAAAATCGTTAACAGGCAATCGTTCGATGGGCTGAATTGCACAAAACGCATGATCGCACCGGCTAGTCTGGTGCACCATTTATTTCATTCGCGAGTTATGAATTTTCCCGCCATAGTTTTCACGTGCCCGTACGTGAGCCCTATTTATTATGTACTTTCCTCTGTGTTCCAAGTGCTTATTATATACTTTCCCACACAGGTCTTTGAAAGTGAACCATTGAGCTGTCCCTGGGATATTGTGAAGCAATAATTTGATAACAAAATTTACAGGCTGTTGGCACATTTGCTTGTGTATGGATGTCAGTCTGGTGGGTACGGACATTCACTGTTAGTTTTTATTTCTTAAATTTTACTCGTTACTTTCCAGAAATATTTTGTTTATTTTGTAAAAATGGCCATATACATTTGCGATTTGCGATTTCTGAATAATTTTTGAGCTCGAGTTTTAATCCAACGGTCAATTTTACGTGGATGAATTGAAATTATTTGCCAATAATTTGCTAAAGCAAACGAATAGGGTTAACTTTCTTTAGAGTTTTTATCATAAAGCAGGTCATAAAAGTTTTTTTTGCGTGACCGTAACATGAAATGAGCTCTTGATAAAATCTAATGGCTTAGGAAAAAAATGTGGGGTTTGCTGAGATCATGTTTTTATGGCTCTAAAAATCCTGAGCTAACGCATAAGTGTAATTTGATCAGGAAATGAATATATTTGGAAATGAATATAATTTGGAAATGAATATGATTATCAGCGGTAGATACGATATTATAGATTTATTCGTCAAAAAGCATAAACTTCGCTAAATCCGGTGGGTCTGGATTTAAAACAGAGTAAAAGGTCTAACTTAGCCTTTAGTTTAGTTTCCGTAGATTTAGCTTAAGTCAGTTATAATCTACTTTTCCTGCAGTTGTTTCCGGTCAAAGACTCAAAAATATTTTGCTGAAGTGGGAAAATTTGCAGAAAACCGAAAAAGTGAACTTCAACGGGTGTTTGCGTGAGTGCTATTTGGATTCAAGCCACGAAAATCTTGGCGCCTTGGCCGATGAAGTGCAGGCACACCGCAAGAGATTGAATATATCAGAATCAGACTTTGATTGATGCAGTCCCTCGAAAAGGCTGCTTGGCTTACTGGTCCCGCCATTCGTCGACTTAATTTTTTTGCATGCACACTTTTTTGTCTACTTTGAACCACTTTAGCTTCCATTGCATGGATCTTGCTTGAGAATCTTATTTCACCAATATTTGTTGTTGTTGCTACTTTCACACTTCGCCCAGTGATTTGTAACATCTCATGTGCCATTCATGTTTATTTTGCCCCTATATTTGCCATAACTATGCCATGCGTACGTATTCGTACACGTCTCTAATATCCGGTTGGTCTATGACTTCAAAAGTGGCTTTTCCTTCCTTCCGTTTGTTCCGAGAAAACATCATACTATTGTCTGGGAAAGGTGATTTGTGAAAACTTAACTGATTCCGTACAAATCCCCCTGGGGAATCGCAAAATTGAGTGTTTTTTGGAATAGGGTGCAGCTTTCTGTCAAAACAATTGTATCCACCACTGGTCTCCAAATTCATGGAATCCTACTCATATGCATGTTTGGTTCGGTGAGTTTGGTGGTTTTCTTGATTTGAAGTAGT